GGACTCATGCTGTCTCTTATCAATCCTTTGCTCAACAGCTCATCAACTTGCCTCTGGAGCTCCTCAAATTCTTTAGGGTTCATTCTATATGCTACTTTATTTGGAATAGCGGACCCGGGAATGAAGTCAATGCAATGTTGGATATCCCTCATTGGTGGAAGCCCGGCTGGAATTTCCTTTGGGATGACGTCTTGAAATTCTTGAAGCAAAGGGCGCAATGTAGGAGGTATCCCACCCTTCATTTCATTCTCTTCCATTACCACCAGTGCATATGCTTCCTTAATTTCTTCAAAAGCAATCAAGAACTCAGACGTGGTCAATAAGTTGTTTCCATTTACTTTCATTGCCTTTGGACTGCTCCCTGACTTCATAGGACCCAAAACAATCTTAACTCCATCCTTTTCAAAGGTATAAGTGTTTCTGAACCCGTCATGCACGACTTTCCTATCATATTGCCAAGGCCTCCCAAGTAGCAAATGACACGCATCCATGGGAACGACATCGCACCATATTTCATCCTTATAATTTTGCCCAATAGAAAACTGAACTAAGCACTTTTTGTTAACCTTTACCTCATTCCCCTTTTGCAACCACGAGAGCTTGTAAGGTTGTGGGTGCTCCATCATTTTAAGATTTAATTTCTCCACCATGGTGGTAGCCACCACATTTTCACAACTTCCTCCATCAATGATGACATTGCACACCTTGCCAAGGGAAGTACACCGTGTGTGAAATATATTATTTCGAAGCCAATTGTCTTCCTGCACTTGGGCTGCATTTAAACTTCTTCGAATGACTAAGCTCTCTCCTTCATCACCATATGTTAATTCTTCGTCAAACCTTGGTCCCTCATCCAAATTTAAACCAACTTCTTCATTGAATTCTTCCTCATTTTCTTCCACAAGCGAAACTATCTTGCGGTTTGGGCAGTCAGATGCAATATGACCCAATCCCTGACACTTGAAACAACGAACTGAGTTTGAACGACTTGAACTCGCTGAACCTTCTTGCTTGCGGGTTGACTTTGAGAAGGCATCTGTTTTTGGAGATGAGGCAGGTTTTCCAATAGCTATTGGTGCTCGATTTGAGTTACCCTCCTTGAGCCAAGATCTTGAGGTACCACCATGGCTTTCCTTAATCTGCTTTTCAACCTTTAAAGATAATTTCTCAACATCCCCATAAGACCAATATGGCTGTAGTTGTAGAATGTTGCGAATCTCAGAGCGGAGTCCCCCAAGATAGCGAGCAATTGTTTGCTCCTCTAGTTCTATGATGTCGCAAAGCATGCGTAATTTGTCAAATTCTGCTGTATACTCCTCCACAGACACATCACTTTGTTTGAAATTATGAAACTTGAGGAAACAATCTTGGCGGTAGTTTTCTAGAATGAATTTCTTCTTCAATTCTCTTCTCATCTTTTCCCATGATTCAATCCGCCTCTTTCCTTCCCGAACCCGCTGTTTGTTGAGATGTTCCCACCAAATTGAAGCATGTTTCTTCAATTTGATTGCTACTAGTTTCACCCTGCGGTTTCTGCCACATCCTTGTAATCAAATATTCTCTCCACAGTGTTGAGCCAATCCATGAACTCTTCTGGCTGCATTTTGCCTTCAAATTCAGGGACGTCAACTTTGATGCCAAAGTTTTGCTGGAAATAATTATTCCTTCCATGATGCCTATGGTTGTTCTCAATGCTTGAGTCTCGATCGTGTTCACGCCCAAAAGGGTTGTACTCCTCTTCGCCATCCGATGCTTCATTCTCTGACTCATAATGGGGATCATCATGTTCCAGAGGTTCGTAGCGCTCTAGACGCTGCTGTAGTTGCTGCACTTGTCTCCTTAGATCGTCCACTTCGATGTCACGCAGATATCTTTCACGAACTGGTGGATTAATTTGTCGATTCTGAGGTTGACGACCTCCTCGACCTCCACGCCTTCCAGCCATGAACGGGAAAAGCTCTGATACCAATCTGACACCGGATTTTGCAAAGATTAAGTGAGAAAACACAAGTGAGACTCGAGGGTCGGTAACTCGCCACTCTAGGGAATCCACCAAAGAGATAAGAGTCGGGAAGTTAGAAGAACTCCTTCTTCTAGAAAGCCAAAGGCTATGAAATCTCACTCAAAATAATTGTCCGTTTATTCCATAAAGGGGAAAGGTTTACATAGTGTTCATGGAACAATCCTCCATGAATAGGATAGCCTTCTTAATTAGCCATACATGAACCAACGCATAATGCCCACAATTAATAATAGAAAACATTGTAACGGACTTGACTTAAATGAGATGAATGCACCATGTGATATTTAGAGGAGGTCAGATTCGGTGTCATTGGGTGTTTTAGTGAAACCCCCTAAATTTTATTCATAAGTTCATCCTTATTTGGTAGTTTATAACTATCTTCATAAGTATTATCATTTAATCTCCTATAATTATACACTATTCTAGCTTTACCTCTCTTAAGTTCTGAATGTTTTCTAACTACAAAGGCTGCTAATCTATGCCTAGATTTTGAAGGTCTAATTACTTTTTAAATTTAAAAGTTCTTTTATCTACTGTTCAAATTCTTGCTTATCTAACAAGTTACAAGGCATATCTGCTGTTTTAATTGTTAGGTCTAGATTAATAATGTCTAATTTTGCTAATATATTATTCTTATTCCAATTTCCAATGTAATTGGGGATCTTCTCCTATAATTCTAGTTTGTTCAGCTAATTGTAACAATTCTTCTAAAAATTTTGGTCTATCTATTTGCATAATTTCTAAAGGTTCAACTTTTCCTATAATGAGATACTCATGATCAAATATTATATCATCATATTCTAGATCATTTTGTTCATCTATTTTTTCTTTACTTATTTCTTCTAATTCTTCCATGTTATATCTAAAATTTTGTTCTTCTATGTTAATAATATATTACTTTGATCTGTTGTGGTTATTCCTTTCTTAAAAAATGTAATGTCTGGAGGTGTATATAAAAATACTACTTGTAAACTTTTTAAGAAATTTAGTCCTAAGATAAAGGGATATGATCCTACTCGGGATATAAAGGTTAAGGGTAAATTAAATTGTTGTCTTTCTATCATAATTGGTATATTGTTAATATAGTGTGTTAAATATACAGGTCTTGTATCAAATTGTATAATTCTTACTGGTCTAGCTAATTTTTTGTTTTAGGCACTAACTCTTCTTTTATTACATTTTTTATGCTTCCTACATCTATCATGGCTATTGTTTGAATTTTCTTTTCTTTTCATAATTCTAACTCACAATTAATTGTTATTAATGAACTAGTCTTTTGTTTTTCTATACTAGGGCAGTTATTCTTTTGATTATTGTTATCTATTTCAACTGTATTTATTTCTATTGGTCTATTATCGAAACAAGGTTTACAATAAACTATTGTTTTAGTGTAATATTTTCCTACCACTATTTTCTTACATTGATTACATTCTTGAGGCCATCCTAAATTAACATATTTAAATTCTTCATGCTCCGCCTGTTCTTCAAACATACACATATATTCATCTAATTCACTATCGGAATTGCTAGAGTAATCTGATTCTGATTCTGAGTCTAAGGCATTAACACTATAAATGCTTTCATTATCGCTTAGGTTATCATCTAGACTATAAATTGATTCTAAGTCCTCATCATCTTCTAATTGAAATTGCTCAATTAATTGTATTTTTTCTCTAGGTTGTTTTCCTAATTTGGGACATTTAGGTCTAATATGTCCTACTTCACCACAAAGATAACATTTACATGTACTTTTATTAGGTATTTTATACTTTCTAATCCATGGTTTATTTGTTCTTTTTCTAAATTGTTTAAGGATATATTTTCTTCTTCTAAAAGTTTTTGAAGGTTGAATTCTAACATTTTTATATTGTTGTTTATAAGGTCTATATTTTCTATAAGTTTTTCTATATGGCTTTTTCTGCTTAAATTTTCTATAACATCCATATTGTTTAGGTAAATCTATATTTTTACAACTCATGTAAAATTGTTTTCTAATTTGTCTTTTTGCTTTTATTTGACTACATTTTGATCGTAATATATCATATACATGTTGTATTCTTGCTCCTATGGATACATCTAGTTTCCTAGGGTGTTTCTACCATTCATTCCAAATTCTTTCTCCTATTGGTCCTTTAATTTTTGTCATGTAAGTATCTAACAGATTAAGACAATCAATTCTACATGTTCTTCCTAAATACTTGAAAAAGTCTGAAGTATATTCACTAATATATTGTAAATCACAAATTTGTAGTTGTCCTAAATTTCTTATGGCCCTAATGTGTTCTTGTTCATTTCTACCATCTAATCTGTTATGATCTAAAAATTCATATTTAGTTAATTTAACAAAAGCATCTATATTAAACATTTCTTTTGCTGCTTGATATTCTCTTGGATTTTTAGTTTTTCATGCTTGAAAATAATCAAAAACCATTCCATCTAAAGTATGCTCAAAGTAATCTAACATGTGTTTATTATTACTAAAATCTAACATTAATGTTGCATGTACACAACCTTTTTCCCATCTTTCTATAGTTTTTTCCCAATCCTGTGGGTCTACGTGATCTAAATTTAATATATTTCTTGCTAAACTAATTTGTTCAATTCCTTTATAAGGGATTCTATTTTTTTCTTATTTCAAATGCTTCTTGTTGGAAAGCATTTCTACCGGTTTCTTCATTATTTTCTCTATATGGTTCATTAGTTTGCCTAAGATTTTGTTAATGTGTTCTACTTGCAAGGACTACAAATGGTCCAGGTGAACTATACTGATCTTCTATTGGCATGCATTCTACTTCAATTAACATATTTTGATATTCTTTTTCTCCTAAAATATGTTCTAATCCTATTTTTTTTTATTAAATCTTTCATTTCTTTATTTGATAATCTATGTAATCCTAAATCATAAGTTTTGTGTTTTTCTATATATTCTTCTTCATCTAAATTATCTATGTCATTTATGAGTTTATCGACTATATTATCAAAATTAGACTCAATCTTGTTTATTTCTAAATTATCAAATGCCATATGTATTTCTTTTCTAAATCTTCTATGTCATTTATTTGTTTATAATTAGTAAATCTTACTACTGCTTCAACTATACAATTTTCAAAAATTTGTGCTTTATCAGGTTGTTTATTTTTTGTTACTTGTAGGTTGGGTAAAATCCATTATGTTCCTTCTAAAAAATTATTATCTATCGGTTTTGCCTCTATCATATTAACATGTTTACTACCAAAAGTTTGTACTAAATTTTGAAATTCTACATTAAATTTGTAATTATAACTATTTGAAAATTTTCCTACATACATAAGACTGATTTTTAAATTTTTGTACTCACATTTCATATTATAATTTTTTGTTCTTATGCTAATTTTTATATGCTTACTAAATTCTTTAATATTCATGACATAATTGGGAATACATCCTATGACTGCTATCTACTTCTACTATGGCTATAGCTGCTTACTGATGGTTATCCCATCTGTCATCATATATGTATACTAGTGCTTTAGTTCCTACTTGTGCTCTAGTCTAGCTATTCCTATCATAATTGTTCCTATATGAATTTGTTGATAGTGTGATTTTTTAAGGTGTTCTATTGCTGTGTTACTAAGTAAATTAAGAGTTACTTCTTTATCTATACAGCTTACTTAATATTGACTGATGCTACTTACAATACTATGCCTATTTTCAAATCTTCCTAATTGATATAAATTATATTTATTTTTCTGAGATTTTTCAAAGCCTTTTCTAAGAAATTCTTGTGCTTCTTGTTCACTAGGGTATCTATCTTCTGTTCTAACTATTTCTTTTCCTTTTCTTCTAAAGAGTTCCATTTACTATTATCAAATGGATTTATTCTATCTTTTCTTCTATGAGGATTATTTCCTAAGGTTAAATTTTCTAATTTGTCAACTAAGTCTTTGGGTAGTGTAGAAGTCGTATTGTGTACTACTTAATTAATTTATGTCATTTGTTCTTCTAATTGATCTACTTTTTCAGCTAAATTTAAATTAATTGGATAATTAAATTATTTTGTCTAATAGGAATATTATTACTTACTACAGATGTTGTAAAGTCTATAAGACCTACTGGTTCCTTATCTAGTTGACCAACTTCTTCTAATGCTTTGACATATTTATTATTAATTTTAGAATATGTCATGAAACTAAAAGTCTATCTAACTATGTAACTTCTCTACTTGTTCAGTTAATGTTTTTTTGCACTTCTAATTTTAATTGCTCAATAATTTCTAATAACTGGAGTTTTATTTGTTTTGGTTTACTATCTATAAGATCTATGAGTTCTTTTATTTCTTTCTTACTAAGAAATCTTTGGATATTCCTATTATTATTTTCTAATTGAGATGTTATATAGTCTAAGTTTTGTCTA